GACTGGGCGAGGTGTCTAGATTGCTATTTAACTACTCGGAGTAGGCAGAACCACAGACTATGCTGCATAAATATGCATGGACATGGGCTTGCCTCCCATACTAGTGTATCCTTAAGCAGAGCACTGAGGTTTGGTTCAGTAGCTGTTTAGCTACTGGAGTTGAGCAGGGTCAGATGCTCTTCTCAGAAGACATTCACATACATGCACTTGACTCCTAGCCTGGCAAGGGCTTAAGGAGAACCCCAGGATTTGGTTGGATTGATGCTCACTAGCTAAGTCTGGGCAGGACTAGATTCAAATAATCACTCACCTGCTTTTAACTTCTAGCTTGGAGTGAAGTTAAGGAAAGTACTGGGGCTTGGCTAAGTCACAGCTCTGCAGCTGGGTCTGAGTAGGGTCAGATGCTCTCTTTGGATCATCAGTAGGTCTGGGAAGGGTCAGAGGGTCCCTTCGTGGATAATGCTGACCTGCCCTTGCTTCTTGGCCTGGAAGTGGCTGTGAAGGAGATCACTAGGGCTTGGCTAGGTCACAGCTCTATAGCTGCATCTAGGTGGTGTCAGATGCTCCCTCTGTGAATGATCACAAATGTACCCCTGTCTTCTGGCCTGAGAAAGGACTTAAGAGTACACTAGAGCTTGGTTGGGTTGCAACTCAATCACCAGGCTTGGGTGGAGCTAGATGTTCACTCAGCAGATAATTATCAACATGCTGCTATCTCCTGGCCTGGGGAAGTTTTAAGGAGAGCACGAAGGCTGAGTGTGGAAGCTGGCCAGGGATTTGGGCCTGGGAGGCCTGTCAACTGTGCCTCATGCAGAGCAACGCTGTTGGGTATCCTTTCTGGTAGTGTGCCTCCGCTGGCCACAAGGCAGAGCCACCGCCAAGATCTGCATGTCCGTCACTGTGAGCCCTACCCCTGTTCGTTGTTTCTAAGTGACCTCAGGTGGTCTAGCCATGTTGATACTGCCAGTGTTTCCAGTGGGGCAAGACAAGGGAGTGTTACCTGTGAATGGGCCCAGAATGTTGGGGAAGTTGAATGTCTGCCTCCAACTCAACTCTCTCTTCCCTCTGTAAAAACCCACAGTTCCTGGGGAATCTCTTGTGTGCCGGACTGTGCTGGCTTCGGGGAGGGGCAACATAATCAAAGAGAAACTGTTCCTCTTACACTTCAAGTGAAGCTCTTCTTTATGGTCCAAGGGGTTGTTTCATCCTCACTCCCATGTTCTGGGATATTCATCAAGGCATTCTTGTCTCTGAATAGCTGCAAATTGAATTTCTGTAGAAAACAGTAGAGCCAGAGAATTCCTATTTCACCTTCTTGGTGATGTCATTCTATTTACCTCTCACTTTCTATAGATTGTTTCTCACATTGTACTTTGTTTCCATGTTTTCTACTCCTTCCTCCTCATCCCTGTGGAATGCCCATACCACATTCTCCCAGTCTCCAGCCACCTCCTACCTGAACTATTACATCACTTCCTGGCCTCCACACTATCTTTACTTTGCTATTAGAGTCCTCTGCCTGTCTCTGTTCTGCTCATTCTTTCCTTAAATAACTTCTCTTTACATTGCCAACACTTTGGCTAGTCATAAATCTGTTATTATCCTAAGATATACAACTTGAGTGACTTATCATTCATTCAACAAGTGATTTGTTGAGTAAATTATGTGTCTTTCATCATATATTTGTTTAGTTTTTATCTACTTGTCCTTTAATTTTTTGCCTTTATTATGTTTGCTTTTCTTATTACTCAAGTATTCAAGTGGACTAACTATGTCTCCTTGAGTCACTTATTATTATTCAAAATGGTTGCCTAATGAATGTTTTTAAGGATGATGAGTGCTGCCTGAGAGGACCATTAAATAAAGTTATAGAATTCTCTTTAAAGATTTAAAAAATATATAATAGGCATACTTTCTAAAAGAATTTGCGAAAAATTCTGCCAGAGGCTTGTTAAAGAACCCATTGTGAGGTCTCTTTCTTTCTTTTGTTTCTGTGACTTGAGGCTGTAGAAGTATGAAAAGATTGTAGGTAATTATTTAGAATGGCTTATTATAGATCTCCTGAAAGCTGAAATTATGCATTAAATAATGTTCAAGGGCTTTCTTATTTTGAATGTGTCAAATATTTTATTAAAAGTATTAGATTGGAGCCATAACTATGAGGATCACATATTTATTCTGGTTAATGACTTGACAGATTACTGGGTGGTGACTGAATGCTTTAAATGGAAGAAGAAGAATGAATATGACAAAGACCATGAGAACATATAAACTTATCTTCCCTCCCACCCTTTTCTCCTTTAGTAGTTAATTTTAAGTGCCAATTATGTGCCAAGCCCATTGGTAGACCCTGGGGAAACAAGGGTAAGCAAAACTACATATAAACCCTGCCCTGAAGAAGTTTCGTATGTAGCAGGGAAGAGAAATATTATGTATAATCATACATATAAGTTTCTAGTTATAAATGGATAACTGCCATGAAAGACTACAATACTTTCATACTACAAAATGAGAGGACTTGCCGTGGTCTAAGAGATGCCCAGAAACCTAATTTAAGGAAGAATCATTTAATTGAGAATTATATGTTGAATAGGAGTTGAAGAGGTAGAGTTAATGATGGAGCAGGCTCTAGACAAAGGGAACAGCATGTGCAGAGAGGTCAGGTGGTGGTGGTGAGCATGTGCTTTTAGGTAAGAACTAAAAAGGGACAAATGTGGCCAAAATACAGACAGTAAGGGAACAGTGATACTGGGCTTAACTGAAGAGGTAATCAGATAGGGACTTAAAGGATTATGGTCTTTATCCTAAGAGTATTGGCATGCCTTTCTTGAGGAGTGGATGGGAAGCTGGAGATAGAGAGATGGGCAGAGAGAAAGAGAGTTTGTGTGTGTGTGTATGTGTGTGCGCACGGGTGTGCATGCATGTGTGGCTGCCATGGAAGAAAAACTTAAATGTTAGAAGAGAAGATGTCTGAGAAAGAGCTGGAGGCTCATTCTTTAGAGATGTTGAATGATGAAGCTTGGAAAGTGGTAGGTGATGCGGATTAGAGGAGATTGATTCAGATGGTGTCTCACAAGTAGAACCATGGGGTTGGTGATAGATTAGATATGGAGGTAGGCAAAAAAGAGGATGTCAAAGATGAGCCCTAATTTTGGCATTTGGTGGGCGAATGGTAGTGCTGTAACTACCGTGGTGGTGATTGCTTGGGAGAGGACCAGGCTTTTAGGGGCACAGAAAATGAGTTTGGTTGGAATATGTTAAGTTTGCCATTCACATGCAGAGTAAGCACTACTGATTATAGAGCTTAGAGGAGGGTCTTGGTTTGCTCATATACGTTGGAAATCCAAAGTACAGAAGGTCATTTTACTGCACGCAGAGATTATCTTGGTTGATACTATTGAATCAGCTCATTTTAAACTTGAGGGATGTTGAGATCCCCCTGAATTCATTTTTTTACTGAGTGTCTCCGGTCTCATAAAACTTTATGAAAATTATATGGCCATTTAAAGTGCAAGTTTATTGATAACCCTTGTTTTTTTGGCTGTGTTAACTTTTTATGCAACATTTGCTAAAGTGTGATAATACTTAAATCCATTACTATAAAAAAGCATGATCAATAGTTCTTGATATATAAGAGTAAGGATATGGGGTTTCCCATTGTAACCAATGGGCTGAAATTGTAGAAGAGGCTCATGCTTTCTTATTCTTGGTGCTATTTTAATATCTAATCAATCTCATTTGATATCTTTATGTTCCAATGTGGATATCTAAGTACTGGAATTTGTTCATGTTTTTCTATGATTTCTCATTTTTTCTCCCAGTTTTATTTAAGTCTGAAAATTATTTAGTATTGTATATAACATAGTAAGCCCCTTTCCTTCTAAACTTGTGTAGATATAAATATGTCCTTTCAGCTATTTTTTACTTCTTTTTTAGGCACAACCCTATTAACTGATATGTATATAGGGACAAGATCTCACCCTGTTGCCTAGGGTAGAGTGTGTAGCATGATCATGGTTCATTGCAACTTTGACCTCCTGGGCTCAAACGATCCTGCCACCTCAGCTTCCCAGGCAGCTGGGACCACAGGTGCTTGCCACCATGCCTGGCTAAATTTTTTTATTTTTTGTAGAGACAGGCTCCCACTATGTTGCCGGGTCTCGAACTCCTGGGCTCAAGCAATTTTCCTGCTTTGGCCTCCCAAAGTGCTGGGATTACAGATGTGAGCCACTGTACCCAAACTTGCTTTGAACTATCAAAAGTATGGTTTCCTGGTAACATTTCAAAAACATTAGAAGAATATACTTTAAGAGTCATAAATTTGTTCATATCCTTTGGCCTAATTAATTAACTTGAAGAATTTATCAAGTGAAGATAATTAACATGAAGAATTTTGTTTCTACTTAATATTTAATAATTATACAATAACAAATATCAAATGTAGGGAAATTATTAAATATATTTTGATCAAACATATGTATTATTTATGCACTGAAATTATAGACTTGAAAACTATGTAGAAACATAGAATACTATAATAGTATAGACATGGTTTAATATTGTTAATTAAGAGTTTTTTGTATTTATACTGTTTATAACTGTGTCAATTATGAATTCATATGAATGGTAACTAGAAAGGAAAATGAAATATTTCATGATGGGATTATAAGTATGTTTCACTTTTTAAAATATCCTACTGTGCTATCTAATGAATATTAAGATGAATATAAAGGAGTTTAAAATTAGTTTGAGTTTTAGCAGCTAGTAATTTCTTTTTTATTAAATGGGTATAGATACCTCATCAAGCTGGCTTGGTCATCCCAAAGCACTTAAAAAATTATTATTTACATCCAGTTATTTCAGAAATTAAAGCATATTTAGTTACCTCAGGAATCACAGTGGAACTTTGAGACTTTGGAAGATTTTGCTTTGGAACCGATGCAGGGAGTGTGGGAGGTGACGGTTTACATCTTAAGTTGTCTTTTCTTTCCTTTCTGCAGCCCACATACTTCTTATTGGCCAAGATATGTCTGCTCTTTACTGCTGGAATTCAGAGCTTAATCAGTTCTCTTTTGTTCTGGAAGTAACTTCTGCTTATGGTGTGGCTTCTGTTACAGTAAAGTCCCTTAATTCAAGCAAGAATTTAATAGCTCTAGTGGGAGTTCATTCACATATATATGAGCTAGCCTACATTTCCAGCCATTCTGACTTTATTCCTAGGTAGGTTCAACATTTTATGCTAAGTATATTTATGCTCACCGTAATTTTATATGACAGTTCATTTCCAAGACTTTATTTAGTGACTGAAAAATATACAAAATGTAAGTTATTTTTCAGCCTGAAATTTGGTTATTATCCATATTTCTAATATCTATTCTACCAAGTTAATCAGTATTACATGAATATTTTGGATTAAAATTTTATTTATGAAAGTGATTCTTCCAAACCTTTAATATCAATTAATGTAATGGTAACTTTATGAGTACTCTACTATGTATATATCTTAAATTTGTTGTAGTTAACTTATTTTGTATATGCTTCTTATGGTAGTTCAGGTGAACTGATATTTGAACCGGGTGACAGAGAAGCTACAATAGCAGTAAATATCCTTGATGATACAGTTCCAGAAAAAGAAGAATCCTTCAAAGTTCAACTTAAAAATCCCAAAGGAGGAGCAGAGATTGGTATTAATGATTCTGTAACAATAACCATTCTGTCTAATGATGATGCCTATGGAATTGTTGCATTTGCTCAGGTAATGATACTGAAGACCCCACACTTGCAATGCAAATGTTTGATTTATTGTATTTGTGTATTAGCTATTATTAGCACTCAGCAAGTCATAGTTTGAGTATCATCAGCCTCTCTCCCTTCCCTTTCCCCTGCCTCCCTTTTATGCTGCATTCTAGGGTGAATTCTACTGACAAAAATTCTGAATTTTGCAATTTACAGTCTTACACACTGGACTCTGAGTCAGCTTGTCCTAATCTTTTTGCTATTTTCAGATTCCTTTTATAGGATTGACTTTGAAATGTTACAGGTTGATCTTGGTCTAAAAGTTTGACTCTGCTGTTAGTTCTGTTACCAGAAAGAAAGGATGACATAGATTCTAAATACAATATATACTGTGTGATATACACATCACGTACAAATATATTACTGTCATATTATGCTTTTGTTACTTCTGTGGAGAGGGGAAGAGAATGAGAGGTGGGGTAGGGGGAGGGTGGAGGAGAGAGAGAGTGTTGTAATTATATGTACGTTGGACGTGTAGATGTCTTTTCCTGAGGAAAGAGAACCATGCAAATCCTAAGTCAATCCTGTGCCCAGACTTCATATTTCTTTGTCAGCAAGCAAAAGGACATCTCTTATTTACATCATTTAGTCCTTTTGACAAAGTGAATTCTTACTTCTGAATTCGAGTTATAACTGCAGCTATCATGTATCTTTCTCTGAAATATTTTTCATATAAGGAAAACCTAACCCAAATTTGCCTACACACCAAGAGTATGTCCTAAAAGAAGGTGAGCTTCGGGGTTAGTTGGATACTCTACCGTGTCATTATGGCTTAGATTGTTTCCATCTCTCTACTTTGCCATCACAAAATTGACTTTCATTTGGTTGTTTGAAAGCTGATGTTATTGTTAAGGTTACTATGTTCCTGTTTATGTTCATTTGGGGAGAGAGAGATATTTTATGAGATTCTCAAAGTAAGGAAGACATTTCCCAAAAGACTCTAGAAAATGGCTTATGTCTCATTGTCCAGAACTGGGTAACAAGCCCACTCACTCATTCATTCATTGAATCATGCAGCAGTCATTTAACAAATGCCTGTTATGTACCAGATACTGTTTCAGATGCTAAATCATGATAGAAAATAAAAACAGCAAAATTCTTTATTTTCATGGTCCTTAAATTTTGAGAGAGCAAGGGGAGAAAGACAGTAAACACAGACATAAGAAAATATGTGCTATATTTGATGGTGATGAGTGTACTATGAAGAAACGTTAGGCAGGCAAGGCAGATGGAGAATGCAAGGGAGGGAGTGGAGTTTGCATGTGGGGAAATCTAAAATAAGATGATCAGTAAGGGCTGTTTGGAGGAAATGATAGAAGGACAAAGACTGGTGGGGGATGAGGGTGTGAGCTATGTAATATCTGGGTAGGAACATTTAAAGCAGAAGGACCCATCAGCAAGAGCAAAGGCCCTGCAGTGCAGCCCTGCCCATCTGGAGCAACAAGGAGGCCACTGTGGCTGATGTCTGCATGTGATAGGGGATGAGGTTCAACAGATGCAGGGCCAGGGCTCTGTGTCAGGAATCCCCAGGACCACCCACAGTTTCGATGAGCCACTAAGAGGACTCACAGGACCTAGCATTTAGTCATACCCATGGCTATGATTTATTACAGCAAAGAATGCAAAATAAAATCATTGAAGGGAAAAAGCTCATGGGGTAAAGTCCAGAGGAAGCCAGGACAAGCTTCTAAGATTTTCCCTCCCAATCCCACCCATTGACACAGGACACGCTTAATTCCCCTTTAGTTGTCACAACATGTATAAAATGTTGCCAACCAGGGAGGCATACTAGGGACTCAGTGCCCAGGATTTTAACTGGTGTCTGATCATGATCATGCAGGTACCCTCTGCCTGGCACATACCAAAATTCTAGACTCTCAGAAAGAAAATGAATGTTCAGCATAAACCACAATTATTATGCAATTTAGGCACTGGGAGCTGCTTAACAGTTCTGGGAATGGTGGGAACTCTCCTGAAATCCAAGTTCCCAGACACCAGCAGAGAGCCGACCTGTGAACAATGGCTTTTGTCTCGTTGTCCAGATGGATAGCAGTCAGGTTCGCTGTGTGAACAATTTCCTGCATTAGCCTGCTAGCATTGTAATGAATTTGGACCCTGAGGGAATCAGAGAGCCTTTGAAGGGGGTGGAGTAGAAAAGTGAATGATCCGACTCACATTTTAGAAGGAACAACTCTGACCATATTACAGAGAATACATTGTAAGTGGGCAAGGACAGAAATCGACCAGTTAGGAATTATTACAGTAATAAATGATGGAGCTATGGGAAGCGTGTTCACTGACTTACGGATATAGGAAGAGCAGGTTTAGGGGATAAGATGAGGAATTTTGGATGTGCTTAAAGTCTTGTGTCTATTGCCTGCAAGGGTCAGAAGTTTACACTGCTACTCAATCTGGCCCATCCCTGGAGCTAAGTAAGCATAGATCAGCTTCTTCTGAGGCATCTCTGCCCAATAGGGATATAATGTGTGCCACATATGAAAATGTAAGTTTCCTAGCAGCCTACATTTTTTAAAAAGTAGAAAGAAGTAGGTCATTTGATTTTAATATATTTTATTTAACCCAATATATCTGAAATATTTTTTCAACATGCAGTGAACATAAAATCATTAAGGAAATAGTTTACATTTTTCATATCTTGTCTTCAAACTCTAGTGTGCATTTTACACTTATAGACTAGCTACACTAACTACATTTCAGTTGGTGAATAGCCACATGTGGCCAGTGGCTATTGTGAAGGAAAAGGCAACTCATAAGACATGAACTGAGTCGTGGGTGGGGAAAGTTAGAAAGAAAGAAGAGGACCCCTATTTTTATTAGGTACTCACTTGTGTCTTCACTTTCTTCAGATCTCTGCAAAATGACACCTTACCAGAGAGATCTTCATTGATGGAAAATTGCAGCTCCCCACCATCATTCTGTACCTTTTTATCATTATAAAAAGTTTCTTCTTTATGACACTTATAATTTCCTAATTTGTCTATCATCAAGGTGTGTTTTTTACAAGAATTGAAGAGTATGAGAGCTGGGATACTGCTGTGTTCACAGCTTTATCCCTGCACCCAGAGAAGTGCCTGGCACACTTTAGAGGCTTAGGATGAACCTGTCATACCTGTCATTCTGTGGGAGAAGCACAACACTTACAAGGCCTTCTCAAGGCCTTGTACAAGTCTGTAGGGCAGAGTTGGGCTTCTTGGGGTGAGAACTGACATGCTCTGCTGTGTGGTTCCATCTTCTCACCCTGCAGCCTTGTGGCAGATGGAGAGCATGTGCTATTCCTCAACTGTTTGAGCATGGTAGATTTCCCTTTATGAAGCTTGTTCCAAAATTGTTCTGGAGACATAAAATTACTGTTAGTTAATACTTGCCAATAGATACTGAATTCTTTCAATCTGTTCAGTAGAATTCTTCATTACAGGTCTTTTATGTCTGGACAATCTCATTTCAAAATGAGATATAGTAGATAATGAGAATTTCTCGAATATTTTCTGACTTCATGAAGTGCTTATTTTATTAACCCTCATTAATGGAGGGCATGGAGCCAGAGAGAGCTGGCTTTTTAAAAGGCATTGTCTTTAGTGAATAAATTATGTGCATATTTTAAAATCAGGGCATTTTATTTAGGAATGCTTGATTGCCTGGAGCAAGATTTTATTACTATGTAACATCTGTAACAACGTGTTAAAATACTGTGTAAAATATTGCTAAAGGATAGAATGGCTACTCAAATTAGCATTCTAAGTAGAAGCTCTCATAAGTTTTAAGAAATTAATGGGGGAATCTCTTTTCAGGTTATCATAGTGACCTGAATGGAAAGATTTTTAAAAATCTTTACACTCCTTATTCTTGTTTTACTGATATGAAAAATCCAGGGGTATTGCAAGAAGAGATTGCCTGAAGCATTCATTTTGAGGAACAGTTCGTGAAATGGCTGACAAGAGATGTTGTGTATGTTTGGTGAAGAATGTTGTAGTCACACAGAAATAGATAATTAGTTTGGGACAAAAGAAAGAGGCTAGGAAGCATAGATAAGAAGAACAAAGAAAGTAAGGAATTCTATCATAAGGGAAAGGGATATTTCAGACAGGAAAACACATTTGTAAAGGCCATGAGCTAAGGATAAAACACCATCAATGGAGACAGGATAGCACACAGAAACATTTCAGAGGATATGAATTTAAGGATAAGAGACATTTGCGAATGATCAAGGAGAAAGCTCTAATTCTTATGACATCGTTGCGCATGGATGGGATGTTGGAAACCATATAGGTCAAGCTTTTGTTTTACAAATAGGAAACAAAGATCTAGAGGGATTGCCAGAGGTTACAAAGGAGAAAAAGGCTTCCCTGCTCTCCTGACTCTATATCCTTTCTCTTCTACAAACTTTTTGCATGCTATGAATACTTTTACAAAAGTACATGCTTTCTGAATATTAATGTAATATATGTTCACTGAGCAAAATTCGAAAAATATAGAAACAAACAAAATAATCCTATAATAATTAACCTTTTTGTTTACTTTCACTTAGTCTTTTACTTATTCAAACATGTATGTTTTAAATCATGGTCATTCTATATGACTCTTTTTTAATTGTTGTTTTCACTTACTATGTCATGTTGCTTAGGACCGTGAAGTTTGCAAATTCATAATAACATGAGACAAAAAAAGAAATCTGATTATGTAATTTCAGGTAACCCCCTGTGACTTTCTGTGTACTTTTCCAGAATTCATTATATAAGCAAGTGGAAGAAATGGAGCAAGATAGCCTAGTAACCTTGAATGTTGAACGCTTGAAAGGAACATATGGTCGTATAACCGTAGCATGGGAAGCTGATGGAAGTATTAGTGATATATTTCCTACCTCAGGAGTGGTATGTAATTTACGAAGTTATAGGAGACACTTTTAAATTATGGTTACTAGTGGTGTATGGGGCCAAATCCTGCCTTGTGGATGAAGTGTTTGAGTTTGACCATGTCAACACTGGATTCCTACTAATCATCGTAGAGAGGGATATAATTTTAAGGTTAGTTTTCTTTTTGTGGGTATTGTTCTTTTTTTAAAATGTAAAACCAAAATTTTCCTTTAATAGGTCATTCTTTTTGAGTGTCAGTACATTCTTTGGCCACATTGTGGGTGCATTACATTGTTAGATAAAATCAAAATGTGGTTTCCAGATTTAGGCACAATGGAAGTAGTAAGTAGAAGTAGGAAGTAGTAAGTAGTAACTGCATAAAACAGTCAGACATATGAAAAAGTAGATCTCAGTTGTGGAGTGATATAGGTTGGGTTTCCTGCAAATAGACTCTGAGATTGAGAGTTGTGGACAGAAGGATTTTAAGGAGATAAATCTATGAGGCTATGAGGAAGGTGAGGATGTGCAGAAGGAGAAGTTGATCCACAGGCAATTGCAGTTGAGGTTGATTGCAACTGAGTTCAGGAGATGAGCTGGTCCTTAGGAGTTGTTCCCAGTTTAGAGCTGAGCCATTGACATCCCCATTTTAGCAGTCCTTGGCTTCAGGCCACCCTCAGGGTTGGGTATAACCTTGAGTGAGACCTTTGCTGTAGCACAGGGTGATTCCCAATGAGGAGCACAGAACTTGTTGTTCCTAGTAGCCACGGGATGGGTACATCAGCCCCAAGAAGGGATGTGGCCAGATGACAAGATTATCCATTACTGGAGAATAGTATAAAGTTGCAGCTGAAATTCAAGCATGGAATCAGAATGAGCCAGATAAGTACATGATTAACAACAAGACGGATCAGAGAGCCTTTCGTTCCTAGCTGGAAGATGGGTTGTCTTCTTGGCTTGCCTTCGGTTTCATAGATTAGTCCGTGTATATTGCCCAAATGCTTCTCTGAAGAGTTCTTTTAAAGGAACTCTCATGGAACTGTCTCAAAAAAAGGACAGATATATATCATGGTTCATCAATTCTAGGTTTCTGTATTATTTCAAAGGTTATTGGAGCTTCTGTATATTAAGAATGTTATAGTAAATTCTGTTGCATTTAATATTTACTTTAGGTAAGCTACCAAAACTGTAAATTGTGTCTGTCAGGTTCTGTATGTTCTGATTTATATTTCCCCAATTGTCATCTCTTATATAAACATGATTACAATTATTTCTAATTTAAATATAAAATGGTACCTTAAACATAGACTATATTTTGGAAGAATTAATTATTTCATTCAGGGAGTTAGTACATTTTTTTTCTGTAAAGGGCCAGATAGTAAATATTTTAGGCTTTGTGAGCCATTTGGTTTCTTTCACTACTACTTATCCTTTGTAGTGGAATTGTGCTAGACAACATAAGCAATATCAGCAGACAATGTAGGCAGCAATAGACAATATGCAATTGAATGAGCTTAGTTGTCTTCCAGTAAAACTTGATTTATGACAAATGGGTTTGGCCATTGGGCAGTAGTTTTCTGACCTCTGATTTTATTAATAAAGCTCTTGAATTTATTTTTGTAACTTTTATTTTAAGTTCTGGGGTATATGTGCAAGTTTGTTACATAGGTAAACTTGTGTCATGGGGTTTTGTTGTACAGATCATTTCATCACGCAGGTATTAAGCCTAGTACTCCTTAGTTATTTTTCCTGATCCTCTCCCTTTTCCCACCTTCCACCCTTGAATAAGCCCCGGTGTGTGTTGCTTCCCTCTATGTGTCTGTGTGTTCTCATCTTTTGGCTGCCACTTATAAGTGAGAACATGTGGTATTTGGTTTTCTGTTCCTGTGTTAGTTTGCTAAGGATAATGGCCTCCAGCTCCATCCATGTCCCTGCAAAGGACATGATCTTATTTTTCTTTTATGACTGCATACCTAAAGAAAGAAATACCATTCAATACAGCAATTCCATTACTGAGTTTAAAAGGCATATAAATCATGCTGGGATAAATACGCATGCATATGTATGTTCATTGCAACATTCTTCACAATAGCAAAGACATGGAATCAACCTAAATGACCATCAATGATAGACTGAATAGAGCTTTTGAATTTATATTCTCCATTGCCTTTTCCAGGTAGAAAGATGAATGTCAGCAAAGGTAGATAATAACATCAGCCTATAATGCTAGTTTGAATAATTATAAATAGTTTGTAGCTGCATTGCTGGAGAGTGGTGTGTGAGGTGAGAATCAGTGGAAAATGACATTCAAGAAGTCCTATCAGCAAGGATTTCAGATGCTTTTTAGCAAATTTGAATTTGACTCTTTAGACAAGAGAGACACAAAAAGAGAAGAGAGATGCTATGATTTGCATCTCTCCCTATCTTTCTCTCTCCACCTGTGTTTTAGGTGATTCATTGCTTAGTGATACATCTGTTCAGAGTTTAGTCAAAGGAAATAATGTGGGCAAAAGTTTTGTAGAGAAAAATCTTTAAGCTAGTATGCCACCTTATTTTATTTTTATGGATCTTTGTATAGGGTATCTAGAGCTTAGATTCCCAGACAGACTATGTACTTTATCTTAGAATGGAATTCAGGCTCCAGTATTTGACAATTTGGCTGCATGTTTTTTTTTTTTTAATTTTTTTTTTTTTTATTAGCTTAAAGTTTATAAATGGTTTGCTTTTTCCTTTTTCCTAACAATCTTCTGTTAATATGAAAGGCATCTGATTATGTAGAATCATATTATTATGTTGCTTAAATATCTCTTGCTATTTAAGTTATGGGTTTAATAAAAGAAAATCAAATTTTTAAATATTCTTACTACATAGTGACAATTACAAAATAAATAACATCTTCTTTCTTTAAAATTCTAGATTTCATTTACTGAAGGCCAGGTACTGTCAACAATCACTCTGACTATTCTTGCTGATAATATACCAGAGTTATCAGAGGTTGTGATTGTAACCCTCACCCGTATCACTACAGAAGGGGTTGAGGACTCATACAAAGGTGCTACTATTGATCAGGACAGAAGCAAGTCTGTTATAACAACTTTGCCCAGTGACTCACCTTTTGGCTTGGTGGGCTGGCATGCTGTGTCTGTCTTCATTAGGGTAGCAGAGCCTAAAGGTAAATATTGTTAAATATCTTTCAAGTTTTAATGAGAAGCTTCATTGGATAATTTAATTCTAATATTTATAAGGAATGTAAATTTCTCTTTTTATATGACTTTTTCAGTTTGACAGGTCATACTCAATCCTTGTTGTTAAATTTGGTAATCATGTGAAATCACCTAGCAATACTGTTAAAGCAAATGTGTCTTTTAAAAGATACATTATAATAGAAATATTAATATTTTAGTTGTGAGTGCAGTAGAGGTGACTTTTTTTACTTTTTCTTTTTCATCATTCATCTGTTCTCTTCACTCAGCTATACTTTCTGTAGATTTTCAATAGTTACAGAGAACAATGAGCAACACAGTGAAATGTACATGGCACTAAAGGTATTAATTGTTTAATCCAAAATAGTAATTAGAATAATTTTATCCTGGGAAGTGTACAGTGGCCATTTTCTCTTTTGAGTATAAAATCATCACCCAAATAATTATTCATATTAGCTGCTGGTGAAGGTTCTAAAGTTTTCACATGATAACATGGACATCCAGCTTTCCAGTACCTTTCATTTGAATAGTCAATGGGAAAAATACGACATGTAGTTATGTTCCTGGGTCTTTAATATGGCATATTAAGTTTTTAAAATCTAAACAATGAAATAAAAGTTAGATGCTGTGAAATACTTTGAGTCTTGTGATAGGCACATCACTGTAAGAACAAAATCACTCTTAATGATTAGTCATTAAATGATGACTTTGTATACATAATTTTTCATTTTTTGAAGAATCTTTTGAGCATTTATAATTATCGTCTCTGTTCAACCTGCATATCTGTACTTCCCTAAGACTTTGCAGCAATTTCTATTAATGTGTATGACATGTGCAACATAGAAGGGTGCTTAGAGAATCAGAAGTGGGGGGTTAGAACTGGGATATAATGTTAGGAGTGGGTGGTGATTCTCTGCCCAACTTTGGGGACCAGGAAGACCAAGCACAGAATAATCCTTGGGTGTATACATTGTCTTTGTTTCACTTCTTTTTCCTTAACTGTCTACAAGGGATAGAGTAGAGTGTTCCACTCTAGGTGCTTGGAACAGCATTAGCAGCAAATAGAAAAGCCTATTTATTTGTGGCATGTTTCTCTTACAGAAAACACCACCACTCTTCAGTTACAAATAGCTCGAGATAAAGGACTACTTGGGGATATTGCCATTCACTTGAGAGCTAAACCCAATTTCTTACTGCATGTCGATAATCAAGCTACTGAGAATGAAGATTATATATTGCAAGAAACAATAATCATAATGAAAGAAAACGTAAAAGAAGCTCATGCCAAAGTTTCCATTTTGCCGGTAAGTCAAGGCTGCCATGAATGTGATCTAAATAAAGGAAAATGCTCTTAAGTAAAATTGTGATGCTCTTCTAGGTAAAAATCTTTTTTTTTTTTTTTATAAAAGGATGCTTTTAAGCATAAAAAAATGTAAGTATTCTAATGTTCCCACCCACCTAAATATTTAATAATGAATGAATATTTTATAACTGGCTGACAAAAATGATGTCTATTACTTGTATTTATCCTTGAACTGGAATATTGTTTGAATGAAATTTGAAGCACTGAATTTAGATTAATTATATCTGATTGGATCCACTGTAATTTTGTTTTGTCAGTTTTTAAACTAATGACAACAAATGAAATGCCCAAATCAATCTCGTTATTTTTATTATTCATTTAATAGGACAGTATTTTTCCTTTCATGATATGATTACTTGAATCAAGATTAGTCTTCAGATGGTTTAGATCTGGTTTTAGCTATCTGTATTTATCCATGTATGTCCGGAGAGAGAGAGAAAAACAGAGAAAGAGAGGGGGAGAATGTGTGAATATATCCGTAATGATGCACAAGAAATTAAAAGTGTTTAATAGTGGATTAGTGTTAATATTTTTATAAAATAATAACAAAATGTTGTTTTATATCATATAAATAGTATTAATCTTACATATTATATACCATAGAATATATTATGTTATTAAATAAATATATAATGTTAGTGTTACTAATAGTGATATTAGTGGTTTTAGGTAATAGTATCTTCTGAAGATTATAATTTGGGAAAGATATAAGGGATGGGATAGAAATGAGAGTTTTTTTCTCCTCTTTTTAGAGTATTTTTTAATCTTTGGAAATTTTGTATTATGCGAAAACAAAATAAGAAATTTAAAAAAATTAAATATAGGCTTATATCTAGATTTTCAAGTCTGGAGCACTTTAAAAATGTATGTAGCATTTACCAGTGTTTCCTAAATTTTCTTTTGGGATATTAAATATGTAAAACATACAATAGAATATGGTCAAAATTTCAGGATAGATTTTTAAAAATTATTTTATTTGCTAATGAGTGTGAAGTTTCCATTGAAACATCACCAGTGAGCTAGGATATTCCATAGATTCTGAAGTTGTCAGTGGGAAGGTATTAAAATATAACAAGAATCTTTTCTATGTGTGACAGATCTGCCCATTCCCATGAACAAAGTCAGTTATTTCCTTACTGAAAAATATCCAGTATTCAATGCAAGTTAAATGCCTTTAAAAAAATGAAACACCATCTTTTTCCCCCATCCCCCAGGATGACATTCCTGAATTGGAGGAAGGATTTATTGTCACTATCACTGAGGTGAACCTGGTGAACTCTGACTTCTCTGCAGGACAGCCAAGTGTGCGGAGGCCTGGAATGGAAGTAGCTGAGATAATGATTGAAGAAAATGACGATCCCAGAGGAATTTTTATGTTTCATGTTACTAGAGTGAGACGAACTTTCATTTGTTTACAGTCATACAGAGGCCTCTCCCTGCTGATTTGGCCAGTGTTTTGTAATGTTTTCTGCAAAACATTTAGCTTTGTCTCTATTTTTAAATAGATAAGTAACCAAATTGCTCTTATAAACTAATTCTTAGATCTCTTTGGGCTAGACCAAAGGATTCAACAAGTTTGCTTTCATTAAATTAAACGTAAGAGTTCAGAAGACCTTTTATGCATACTTACATCTGACTGTTAATTTCTACTTTGAAGGGTGAAGTATAGAAAGTTAAGTAGAAACAATACCTTTAGAAAGATGACTTATGAGAGTTACCATTTTATCTTGCCTTTCAACTGATATTCTTTACTTAAAGGGCGCTGGTGAAGTTATTACTGCCTATGAAGTGCCTCCACCCTTGAACGTTCTTCAAGTTCCTGTAGTCCGGCTGGCTGGAAGCTTTGGGGCAGTAAATGTTTATTGGAAAGCATCACCAGACAGTGCTGGCCTGGAAGACTTTAAACCATCTCATGGGATTCTTGAATTTGCAGATAGACAAGTATGCCAGTCACTAACATATTGTACTTCAGACATTTTGTAGGCATCCATCAAATGAATGCACATTAGTGACTGCTAAATGCATTATACTCTAAATGTTTCTATGTTGAGTCAAACAAATATTATTAATTGAAATACAATTTATTAATGGGCATGGGAAAGACTTATAAAGATACAACAATCTTACCCTTTTCTGAACCCCCTGCCCCAGTTTTATTTAAAATAAATAGAAGTTACAAAACAGGATAATAATTGACTTAGAAATGCCTAACAATATATAGAAAACTGTCTGATGAACTAGACTATTCCTGTGGACTTTAGTTTATCTTTTATTTTGTTTCTTAATGCCAGTAAATATAGATATTTATTTAGAATTTGCACTAAAAGTATGGACAGTTTTTACTTAATATCTAAAATGCCCTTTATAATTTAAAAAAATGACTAAGAGAAAATGAAAAAAATAGTTAAAACTTGAAAAACTGAAAAACAATATTCTAGATTTAGGCTCACCAGTCTTAAATGTTATGAAACATTCCCCAAGAATTACAAATTTTGTAAACTTGGCATTTTTAATATGTAAGAATAAGATGTTTTCATACAAATTTTTTTTTAATCAGTAAGTGGAGAAGGCTTATGAACAACCATGAAATATTAGTAACTTCAACTAGCACCTCTGTCTACAGGTAGCCTTATTTTGGCTAGACAGATTACCAGAGTATGTGTCAACTTATTAGTTGCTCATGGGGAGCAGTAGTAAATGCTGTTAAAAGGTAAGCATACAGATCTAGATTTTCCTACACAGAAAAACATATTATTGTTAATATTTTTGAAATTCTGAGCTTTTAAAACAGTTTTAGAACTTGAAACATTTCCTAGTAAAAAGAGCAGAATGCAAGTCAATGAGATTCTTATGTTAAAAGCAGAAACAAATACATTGATTATTCATTGAAGCAGCCTTCCAACTTTAATGACATTATCAACTCTTTATCTGTGCATGAAGTTCAAGTTCCATCATTAACCAGCATCCTGAGGATCAGGTTTATTCTTAAAATTCACATCCTCGAAGGAAGGGACTCTATTTTACGGCACAGATTTGAGGTGCAGGCAATTTAATTAGCTTCTATTTGAGCATTTGATTTTATTCATGTTTCCACCTGTCTGAGTGTGATATCCAGGTTTTTCACTTTTCTCTGTTGTTAAATTAAAGACTTTAGGTAGATTTAGATAGAAAAACTTCATTTTCTGATAAATGTCTGTGTCAGAAACATTGGAATATTTTTATGACCAATAGTGAAACTGCAAGCTGGATCAAGGTTTATTTATTTATAAGTTTATAAAAATTTTTAACATAGACTCAGAAAATTGAACTAAATCCTGATTATAAACATCCAGGAATAGCACATTTGGGTCTTCTTTCTGCCTTTATTTTTGACTGCATTGCAAAAACAATATCTGAAACCATTGGGATTTATTTTAATTGTAGAAGACAATGGTAATTTTTATGTCAGTTTCATATCGTGTAATATTAATACCAAGCATATTGCATTTTATGTTTGTGCAATGGTATTAGAACCTGCATGACATTAAAAAAATTTTAAGAATAAGGATTTATTGCTTTTAATGTATAAATAATACTATCTTATCACATCAATACTTTTTTATCTTGAAAGTAATAGACAGCAAATTTCTGATTTTAAAATATCATAAATATACACAACTTTAAAATGCCATAAATATATATGCCATAAATATATACAACTTTAAAAGTATTACGAATATTATAAGCAAAATAACTACTTTTTTGTACCATGTTTCTAAGTTTTTTAGTTTCAACTAAAAAATTAAAATATATATAAGCAAAAACTGTTACTACATTATTTCTCTCCTCATTTCCTATCTTCCTCCTCCTTTTCCTCCTTCTTTTTCTCCCTTCCTTCCTTTCTTTCATAGGTTACTGCAGTGATAGAAATGACCATAATTGATGATGCTGAATTTGAATTGACAGAGACTTTCAATATTTCCTTGATCAGTGTTGCTGGAGGTGGCAGACTTGGTGATGATGTTGTGGTAACTGTTGTTATTCCACAAAATGATTCTCCATTTGGAGTATTTGGATTTGAAGAAAAGACAGTAAGTTAAATTTATCAGGGGGATGCACGCCTTATTTCAGGCTAGTGTTTCATGTAATTTTGAGTAGAAAGTGTCTTGCATTTTTGTTTTGAAAGTCTTGGCCAGGCGTGGTGGCCAGTAATCCCAGCACTTTGGGAGGCCGAGGCGGGCAGATCACAACGTCAGGAGATCAACACCATCCTGGCCAACATGGTGAAACCCCAGCTCTACTAAAAATCCAAAAATTAGCTGGGCATGGTGGTGTGTGCCTGTAATCCCAGCCACCTGGGAGTCTGAGGCGGGAGAAATCGCTAGAACCCAGAAGGCAGAGGTTGCAGTGACCCGAAATCACGCCATTGCACTCCAGCCTGGCGACATAGACTACATCTCAAAAAAAAAAAAAAACAAAACAAATCCCGGCGTGGTGGCTCACGCCTGTAATCCCAGCACTTTGGGAGGCCGAGGCGGGTGGATCACAAGGTCATGAGTTCGAGACCAGCTTGGCCAATGTGGTGAAACCCTGTCTCTACTAAAAAAATACAAAAATTAGCCTGGTGTGGTGGTACATGCTTGTAGTCCCAGCTGCTTGGGAGGCTGAGGCAAGAGAATCGCTTGAACGTGGGAGGCAGAGGTTGCAATGAGCCAAGATCACACCACTGCATGCCAGCCTGGGCAACAGAGTGAGACTTCATCTCAAAAAAAAAAAGAAGAAAGTCTTTATTACCCTTCACGTATGAGTCTCTTCTCAAGGATCTTTTGAGTGGGCTATTGAATTAGGGGCCAATCCTCCAGCCTGTGCACACAATTTGATAGTAATGTGAGCCTTAATATCAGGAAATTACGAAGGGGAACAGATTCCTATTTATTGGGTGTAGTAGACCAAGATGTACTTTTCTTTTTTTTTTTTTTTTTTCCTGAGACGGAGTCTTGCTCTGTCGCCCAGGCTGGGGTGCAGTGGCCGGATCTCAGCTCACTGCAAGCTCCACCTCCTGGGTTTACGCCATTCTCCTGCCTCAGCCTCCTGAGTAGCTGGGACTACAGGCGCCCGCCACCTCGCCCGGCTAGTTTTTTTGTATTTTTTAGTAGAGATGGGGTTTCACCGTGTTAGCCAGGATGGTCTTGATCTCCTGACCTCGTGATCCACCCGTCTCGGCCTCCCAAAGTGCTGGGATTACAGGCTTGAGCCACCGCACCCGGCCCAAGATGTACTTTTCATCCACACCACCTATTCTCTACCTACTTTACTGCCAGACCACCATTCTGGTCACAGGCAGGATTCTGTCATGGGTCTGGGTGTTACATCCCACAATGGGTTTACCTGGTGAGGGATTTATATTACCCACTGTTATGCTAGTCTGTTGTGACTTATGTAGAACAAAGCACCACAGTCACCCCCCACCAGCTCATGTATTTCTCTGTATTTCTTCTCACTTCTCGTTGGCTGTTTACTTCCAAGACTTGAAAGAAGGAACCCAATTATTATTGATTCAGCCACAAAGAGAGAGAGAGAGAGAAAAAAAAAAGCCTAATTAATCTTGAAAACTAAGTGTTTGTGCAGCCAGATTTGGTACCCAGTACTAAATTGTCACTACATCTTAAGTGTAAAACACTATAAATTCCATTATAATTATTATTACATAATTATGACATAATATTATGACCTTACCTTTCAAAAGAAATTCCAAGGTATGAATTAACCATAAAAGTACTTAGATAATCCCCATATACTCAGCAACTTTTCCGGCTCCATATGTCACCATTCCCTTCATTTAATCACTTATAGGTAGTCAGTAATTCACATAGATTGCTTTTAATTAATAAACCAATTGCCGTAATTTTCTACTGTCCTGTGGATGCAAGGCTAGACCCACAGCTTGCCTGCAAGGGCTGGAGTTCCCAGATGCTCCAAAATTGAAATATAACAAATAACTGCCTAATGATTTGGCTATTTAATTTCAATTTCATAAGAAAATGAAACCTGTAAGAGGGATAGAACAAACTTTCACTGTAGCCCAATGAGCTCTTCCTTAAAAAAAAAAAAAAAGGGCAGCTGTGTTTGTAAGGAGTGTTGGATTGGCAAAAGAGTAACTGTGAATATCTTCCAAGCAGCAGAAAATTACATATGAATATGTAATTTATTTTTTATAAAATGATTAAAAGTTCAGGGTTTAGTGTTCAAATCTTCAATTGATGAAACTTCACAATAACGTTTTTCATCAAACTTTTGGACTTGGGCACTGGACAATGTGTTTATAATCTACTCTTACTATTAGAGTAAATGAACACCTACACTAGTATTCATAAATAATTTTTATTCATTTTATTGTAACTGCGATCATAAACTCTAGTGTTTTAAACCTAGTGTTAAGCACACTTGGTCTGGGAAATAATATCGTTACAGCTACAAATTTTCAATTTGTCTTAGAGTCTAAAGGAAAGATTTAGGTTACCCAATTCCTACTGTATTGTTGAATATGTAAAGCACACGTGCTTGGGCTTTAATTCATTAGATGTTGATGGCTATTTTGATTGTTGGTGATAATAGTAGCTGCATGATGCTCAGCCCTTTGTGACTGCTTCCCTTGCTTATATCCTATCTTTCCTATCACAAAAGTTTCTTGGTAACATGGAGTTTATCTTTTAACCTTAATGAGATATACAACATTGTGCACACAATAAACATTCTGTTAGCATTATTTGGTGACACAGATTAGATTCACAGCTGAGGTACATTGAGAAAAGACTGTTAGTATAAATCCATCAAAATTAACAAGCTGTTCACAAGGGCAATGTGGTAAGTACACGAAAGCCCTGGGAATAGCAGAGACCCATGGAAATCTACTTGTGAAACCTAAACTAAAATGTTACATCTATAGAATCAAGAAGACTTATATAATGGATTTTCTCTATTTTTTTCTTGCTAAATATCTCTAGTCCCTGAGGAGTGGTATGAACAGTTTGGAGTCAAAATATCCTAATTAGATTCCAGGCTCCTCATCTCCAAATATATGTATATATCTGGCCCTCAGATTTCTGTGAGTTTCTGTGAGGCTTAAATAAGATAAGGTATATGTAAGAACTGACACACAATAGAACCTCATTTCAGTTTGTTCTATATCTGTGCTCTTGACATCAATGCAAATCTCATGAAGAAAACAAAACAAGATTGTATTGCATGTTAAGCTTCTATCTGTCTTGAAAGTGGAAAGCATTGTGTTATGTTTTCTATTTATATAGCAGATGGATGATATAGGTTCAATGAGGACTTTGCTTCACAGAGTCAACATATGTACTTCACTTAAACTAGATCTGTTAATAAGGACTTGTATAAAAAATAAATAGTGCTGGTAAATGAATGTATTGAATCTCCTCTCTTTATCTCAGATTAATAAAACCACTTTTAAACTTCGACTCACTAAAGTAGGTACACTACAGATAATTCAGAGGACAGTTTAGGTCTGTATTATGTGGGGAGCCTCATTGTAGTAACAAAGATCCCCCCATATCCAGTTTCTTCATATAGTAAATGTGCATTTCTTCTTCATGCAGGAATCCTGCACCAGAGTGCCCAGTCGGCTGATGCTTATGGACACCTATTATTCAACTGGCAACTCTCAGGCCCTAGACTCTGTCCATTTTGGGGTTCTCCTCTTCTATGTCCTGGGCATCCTCTCTGTTCACCTGCCAAATGGAAAAGTAGAGGGTGTGGGGTCTTGTGTGGAAGTTTATGGCAAGAATATTAGCAGCATAAGTCATTTCTGCCTCTATTCTCTGGGTCAAAATTCAGTCGCATGCCCTACCTGATTGCAAGAGAAGACAGGAAATGCCAACTAGTTGAGCATCTAGGAATAGAAAGTGGGATTTGGTAAAAAAAAATTTTTCTGCCACACGATCATAACATGTAACATTCATTCTAAACTTTAAAACTGCACTCATTGTAAACAGAAATAAGATTCTTTTTGTTTATCCTGCTCTTTTTGTTTGTTTCTTTTGCCTTACTGGATTTTCTTCTTTCAGGTAATGATTGATGAATCCCTTTCATCTGATAACCCAGATTCATATGTGACATTGACGGTTGTCCGGTCCCCAGGAGGAAAAGGAACCGTACGACTTCAGTGGACCATAGATGAGAAGGCTAAACATGACCTTAGTCCTTTGAATGGGACCCTTCATTTTGATGAGGTATAGTCAGCATTAGGACTCGTGTGTTTTTTCCCTAATTTGTCTTTGAGTTTCGTTTTCCTTTTTATTGTAAATTCAGGGAGCACATGTGCAGGTTTGTTACATGGGTATATTGCATAATGCTGGGGTTTGGGCTTCTGGTGAGCCCATAACCTAAGTAGTGAATATAGTACCCAGTAGGTAGTTTTTCAGCCCATACCCCATTCCCACCCTCCCACCTCAAATAGTCCCCAGTGTCTGCTGTTTCCATCTTTATGTCCATGTATATTCATTGTCTAGTTCCTACTTATAAGTGAGAACACATGGTATTTGATTTTCTGTTTCTGCATTAATTCATTTAGGATAATGGCTCCTAATTGCATCTATGTTGCTTTAAAGGACATGATTTAATTATTTTATATGACTGTGTAGTACTTCATGGTGTATATCTACCACATTTTCTTTATCTAGTTCACTGTTGATGGACACTAAAGTTGATTCCATACCTTTGCTATTGTGAATAGGTTGACAGATACCTGATGTTGAGTGGAAGCACCTGCCCTGGTGTGGGGTGCAGGCAGGGAAGGATGGTAAGAAGCGATCATGTTGGAATGTGTTGGGGTCTCTTGGGGAGTAGTAAGGGGGTACACCAGCTTCTAGTCCTGAGCCAGCAGGAATGAAGTTTGCTTCCCTCTCGTGCCCCTGTTTCAGGACTCATGACTTTCAATTCATATAGACTGTCCTTTGGCTCCGCAGTGCAGCTGCAGGCCACAGATGTGCCCCTCTAGGAGCTGCTACCAAAATGGGCTCAGGGCAGGCCTCTTCCCCTCCTCCAGGGCAAGCAACTTCACAACTTGTCTGTCCTCCATTGCTGGGACACTGTTGCTCTGTGTAAGGAGGGGGAGTTGGGCCCTGTTCTTCCTGTAAGCCCAAGTGGCACAGGCTCACTTTGAGCAGGGATAGAGTCACTGAAGAAAAGCACACAAAAAAGCTTTCTTTGTATGCATGCATTAACCCCCAGTGGGAAGAACCACAGCTGTGTCTGCAACAGTCTAGAGTGGGAGATGACCGCCTCTCTACCACTGTCCCTAGGCATTGGTGCTGCCCTTTTCAGTGACTGGCCCTATGCCTGCATTTCCTTTGTCCCAAGGAACTTTGGTGGTCTGTGCTCCCCCTCCCTTATGGGCAGCCTGTATTGTGGATCTTAGATCTCCAGAAGTCCTTTGGCTCCCTGGCACCCACCCGTCCTCCGTGCTTCCCAACGTCAGAGCCAGTTGTGGGGTGTATTTGCAGGAGATCTGGTGGTGCAGGGACTCTAGAGCAGAGAGGTCTCAGGCAGGGCAGTGGCACTACAGGTACACAACCACTATGGCACCCTCCATCTCAGTTTGGGTCTGAGGGGAACATAGACACGCCTGCACAAGCTAGCAACCCCGTTCTCTGTCCCTGGGAAGTTCCTGAATAGCCACTTACAGCATTGTCTTGTGTCATGAGCACAGAGTGGCTCCTCAGAAGCTTGACAGTCAGGAGATTGTCAGAGGAGTGAGGAGAGGAGAGAAGCACTCCCACCTACTTTCCATGGGGTTCCAAGCTCCTTGGGGTCAATCTCTGCGGACTCTTGCTGCTTCCGTTTTCTACACCCCAGCTTCTTCCCACTGGCCCTCTGACAGATCCTGGCTCTCTTCCCCCAGTTTTCTGTTCAGAACTTGTCCTTTCACCAGTAACTTTGGTCATCTTCCTGAGGAGAACTGGCACCTGATGTCCCTAGAGAGTCATCTGCTAGAGGCAGCGGGCGCTGTGCTGTCGCTGCTGAGGGGAATGGTGACTGTAGTCACCCTGTGTGGCCACACCTCGCGAACTGTCTTTGATTTTCTTTTGCATAGTATTACTTGTGAATGCATGTGATAATATTTACTATGGGATTTTTTTGGAAATCCATATGCATGATGGGGGGAAGAAATCACACACAACACACATACACACACACACACAGAAACTCTAGATATCTGAAGTCAAATTCTTTTTTTTGAAGTTTTTATTGATACATAATTGATATACATATTTTCAGAGTACATGTGATAAATTGATGCATTCATATAATCAAATCAGAGTATTTGAGATATCCATCACCTTAAGTATTTTTTCTTTATGCTAAGAACAGTCTAATTATTCTGCAGCTGTTTTGAAATGTACAATAGATTATTATTACCTATATCAAATTTTTTTTTTTTTTTGGAGACAGGGTCTTGTTCTGTCACCCAGACAGTAATGCACTGATGCGATCATAGCTCGTTGAAGCTTCGACCTCCCGGCTCAAGCAATCTTTCCACCATAGCCTCATGAGTAACTGGGACTCTAGGCGTGTGCCACCATGCCCAGCTATTTTTAAATTTTTTTAAATTTATTTTTTATTTATTTATTTTTTTTTGAGACGGAGTCTCACTCTGTCGTCCTGGCTGGAGTGCAGTGGCACGATCTCCGCTCACTGCAAGTTTCACCTCCCAGGTTTACGCCATTCTCCTGCCTCAGCCTCCTGAGTAGCTGGGACTACAGGCACCCGCTACCACGCCTGGCTAATTTTTTGTATTTTTTAGTAGAGACGAGGTCTCACCGTGTTAGCCAGGATGGTCACGATCTCCTGACCTCGTGATCCACCTGCCTTGGCCTCCCAAAGTGCTGGGATTACAGACGTGAGTCACTGTGCCTTATCTATAGTCAAATTTTAAATTCAGACTCTGCCCCCATTTTACCATCAAAACTACCCCTCTCTCACATTTTTCCTCTCCTGATCGAAGGCAAAGCCAATCAACCACGCTGGATGTCTGGGTGTCATCCCCAGCTGCACCCTTTCTGTAATTGTTACATGTATTTGATTACCAAGTCTAGTCAGTTTTCCCTTTAAGTGTGTTTTCTGACTATTCTGACTGTGCAGAACTTCTATACTGACTCAAAATACTGATTGTGTAACATAATAAGACAATGTCAAACTTACAAAAACTCATAGGTTGTAACATCCATGTACACTTTGAAAAGAAATTAAGGAAGTATTTCAGCCAATCAAAAAAACTGAAACACAATAAGTAGTTTGAGAATAGTAAGCATATTGCACTCCATCTGTATGTGTCTCAGCCTCCCACACTGAGAAGAAGTGAAGGTGCAAGGTCCTATCTACTTTGAAGTAGGAACATAATCTTTTGGCCCATGCAGTTGATTTCTGTAACTTGTAAGAATGACTCCCCTTTTCAAAGTTTGGTCGGACATTTACAGATCTGTTTCTGTTTCTTTATGTCTTCATCAACATGAGCCTGAGAACCTTGGCTGGAGTATCAACCAACCCACTGTAGGATGTGATTTTTCTGGTTGCCTGTGTTCATTCAGTTTCTTCCTCCTCTTTCCATTCTTTGGCTAGTTTTAATAATCAAAAGAAGTGAGGAAGCAGCATATGGGGCCCAGTTAAGCTGAGCACAGAGTTTTTTTTTTTTTTTTTTAAATGAATAATTCCAACCTAACCACAGGACAGTGGTATTTACCAATCAAACTCCTAAGTCTTTTTCTGGAAGAGAGGATGTGGAGGTGGAAGAGACAATCTGATTCTAAAATATACATGGAAATACAAAATGCCAAGAATAGCCAGCAGCTCGCAAAGAAGAATATGGAGGGTGGCCCTACTTAGCCAGTGTGTCAAATAATACACAGTTAAAGTAAATAAGACAGTGTGATATTTGCTCTGGGATGAACAAACAGGCCAAAGAGAAGAAACTAGTCCAGATTTGTCAGTCTTTTTATAGTTTTTGCTTTTAGAATCATGTTTAAACAGTTTTCTTAATTTAATATCTAAACAGCTTTCTTAAATTAATAAAGATGAAACCAGAAGGCAATTAGTTAAAAAACAAAAATACCAATAAAACCTGATTCATAAATTTAAAAAACTTAGAAAATAAGAATTGACAAGAAGGAAGTAATTACTAAAAGAAAATATTGAAAATTGTAAGAGATTATATAAATGTAGACAAATAAATTTTAAAAACCTATGTGAAATTGGCTCTAGCAGATATACAGCAGATATAGAAAGTCTAAACCTATGCACTTTTGAAAATGAATAGAGAATAAATATTAAAAACATTAAAAGATCTGTAGGGGGTTTTCCAAAGGAATTCCAACAAATATGCTTACATGGTCCATGTCTACATTTTTTTTTTCAGTCTAGTGACTCTTCTTCAGAGCCTGCAACATGAGATGGCACAGAAACAAATACCTTTTTGCCCTTCAGTATTGCAATATGTGATTAAGGAGGTCATCAGTGATGCTCTCTGGCAGTCTATTTGCCATGCACCTGTTCTGCCATCATTTTTGAGGTGTGATTACCCCGATGGCATTAAATCTCAAGGCAGATGTTGCAAGTATATCATCCACTTACTTCTCAGATTCTGAAAAATTATGACTCATGAAACATCTAGGTTGTGTGCCCTAGCCATGATCTGAAAACTTCTCACCTGAGGAGCATTTAGAATTTAGAAATTAGTTTCAAATGTCTCTAAAGATTTTCCTCAGTAATAAGAAGCAATAATTTTCTGGTTACCAGATTCTTACTGCTATATACACTTCCCAGGTGATTAAAAAGGTTTTCTTGTTTTGAGCATAAAATCTACACTAAAATGGCAAATAGTCTGATCTTTTCCTCCAGCGAATAAGGTCATTCGTTTTTAGAGTACTGCATTAGGAGGGATGGTGTTGTTTCTAGATTCCACTCTCTCCATCTACTTGTTTAGTCATCTGCCTGGTATATTTCATGTACAACTGTGTAACGGCTCCATTGTTTTTGTATGTCTATGTCTGAATATGTACAAAGATCTGTGTCTCCCACAGGTTCTAATTGGTTTTGAGGATGCCTTTCATCATCTCTCAGTTCTACTCATGGCTAGTGGTATCCACTGCATCAGTAATGCCTAGGTGGATCTCCATTCCCACAAATCGTTCTCATAGCAACTTAGTATTCACATTGGCAACAGGGAAACCTAGTC